CCAGAGAGCCCCAAGCGGGCGTAAGAGGGCCCCAAGACGGCCAAAGAGGGCCCCAAGGGACCCCCAAGACTGACTCACAGGAAACCAAGACAGCAGCCCCAAGACGGCCAACACGAGTTTCATCATCATGATGATGATCATCATCATCATCATCATCATCAACAGCATCAACATAGCCACCATCATCATCACCACCATCATCATCATCACCACTACCACTACCAGTACCATCATCATCATCATCATCATCATCATCATCATCATCATTATCGTCGTAGTCATCACCACCACCATCAGCACCATCACCAAAGCCACCAGCATCAGCACCAGCACCAGCATTACCATCATCATCAACATCACCATCACCACCATCGCCATCGTCATCACCACCACCAGCACCAACATCATCATCATCGTCGTCGCCGTCGTCATCGTCAGCATCAGCATCATCATGACACCACCATCATCATCATCATCATCATCATCATCCTCATCTTAAATATCATCATTATCGTCGTCATCATCGTCACCGCAATCGACATCATCACCAGCATTCTCGCCAGCATCCTCATCATCATCTTCTTCATCTTCGCCATCATCTTCACCTTCAGCACCACCATCATCATCACCCTCATTACCACCTCTATCCTCATCATCACAACCACCAGCATCATCATCATCATCATCACCATCACCATTATCACGACGACCATCATCATCATCATCAGCAGCAACACCACCATCAACATCACTAGCACACTGGCAACCGCTATCACCATCATTGTCAGCATCAACATCATCAGCATCATCATTGTCGTCATCATCACCATCACCATCACCATCACCATCACCATCACCATCACCATCACCATCACCATCACCATCACCATCACCATCACCATCATTATACCACCACCACCACCATCACCACCACCATCATCATCGTCATCATCATCATCGTCACCACCACCACCACCATCATCATAATCATCATCATCATCATCATCATCATCATCATCATCATCATCATCATCTCTGTTATCATGATCATCATTACCATCCTCATCCTCATCCGCATCAGCATCCGCCTCATCATCCTCATCCTCATCCTCAGCCTCATCCTCACTTTCATTATTTTCCTCCTCCTCATCATCATCATCACCATCACCGTCATCACCATCATCACAATCATCACCATCATCACCATCATCACCATCATCACAATATCACCATCACCATCATCACCATCACCACCACCATCATCATCATCAGCATCATCGTCATCAGCATCATCATCATTATCATCATCGTCATCATCATTATAATCATCGTCATCACCCCCGTCATCCTCATAATCTTCATCATGCTCACCACGGCTCTCCCAATCCTGGAAACACGAGGTGTCACACTGTGTCCCATAGAACAGTCGCCACCCAGAATTCTGGGCTGGCACGGTGGCGGCACGTGCCGCAAGCAACTGGATACATATAGAAGGCGGTTCATTTTCAAAATGGGGCTCCCGTGTGAGACTACAGCATGATGTAAATAACGAAACTGGGGTATGTATTACCACACGGATGGAGGGCGGCTCCTTTTCAAAATGGGGCTGTAGCCTGAGACTTTCTCACCGCTTGGCCCATTCAGTTAACGTGTTCGGCAGTTACGGGGAGGGATGACGCCTTCTTTTCTGAATTGCGGGCCCACGCGATGCTCGGTCTTCAAAGGGGCGCTTCCCGCAAGGGAAAATGCGATTATCCCGGCAAAGCAACCTAACAGCGATGTGTAGGAGCATATCTGGAAGCATTCCCCTTACGATTCAGATGAGAATCCAGTTGTCGAATTCTGCTGTTCTCGCAGTCGCAGTCGCATTCGCGACGACAGTCGCAGTGGCAACGGCAGTCGCAGTCACAGCCTCAGCCTCAGCCTGCCTCAGCATCAGCCTGCCTCAGCCTCAGCCTCAGCCTGCCTCTGCCTCAGCCTGCTTCAGCCTCAGCCTCAAGCCTCTGCCTCAGCCTGCAGTCTCGGCCTCAGCCTCAGCCTGCCTCAGCCTCAGCCTGCATCAGCCTCAGCCTCTGCATCAGCCTGCCTCAGCCTCAGCCTGCCTCAGCCTCAGCCTCAGCTTGCCTCAGCCTCAGCCTCAGCCTGCTTCAGCCTCAGGCTCAGTCTGCCTTCAGCCTCGGCCTCAGCCTCAGCCTGCCTCAGCCTCAGCCTGCAGCCTCAGCCTCGCCTCAGGCTGCCTCAGCATCAGCCTGCCTCAGCCTCAGCCACAGCCTGCAGCCTCAGCCTCAGCCTGCTTCACCCTCAGTCTGCCTTCAGCCTCGGCCTCAGCCTCAGCCTGCCTCAGCCTCAGCCTCAGCTTGCCTCAGCCTCAGCCTCAGCTGCCTTCAGCCTCGGCCTCAGCCTCAGCCTGCCTCAGCCTCAGCCTGCATCAGCCTCAGCCTCAGCCTCAGCCTGCCTCAGCATCAGCCTGCCTCAGCCTCAGCCTCAGCCTGCCTCAGCCTCAGCCTCAGCCTGCTTCAGCCTCAGCCTCAGTCTGCCTTCAGCCTCGGCCTCAGCCTCAGCCTGCCTCAGCCTCAGCCTGCATCAGCCTCAGCCTCAGCCTCAGCCTGCCTCAGCATCAGCCTGCCTCAGCCTCAGCCTCAGCCTGCCTCAGCCTCAGCCTCAGCCTGCTTCAGCCTCAGCCTCAGTCTGCCTTCAGCCTCGGCCTCAGCCTCAGCCTGCTTCAGCCTCAGCCTGCCTCAGCCTCAACCTGCCTCAGCATTCAAAATGCGGCCCGGGAATGGAGTTCTGGGAACTCGAAGAACACGAAGTGGCCTACAGTTGGCTCCGGGCATTCAAAATCATGCCCAGGAATGTAGTTCTGGGAACTCGAATTGGAGGGTGAAAGTGGGGGTCGGCCGCAGGGTCCCGGCAATGGTGTCTTTATGGGCCATGAATGAGCGATGCATCTTCGATTGCTGTGTTCGGCGGGGGAACTAATGGAAGCCCCCCGCCTGCACCCACGCGCGAGACTTGAAAGGAAAGGAAACAAGGGGGCGGGGGGCTCGGGAAAGGCGACGAAGGCAACGTGCGCTGAGGGCGCAAAAAGAAAAGGCTGGAACAAACGAAAGCGGTCAGGTGAGTGTCGAAATCTCCCCAGCCAATCTGACATGCGGAACAAAACGCCCCAGCGTTGGGAATCTTGAGGGCCAGGGCAAAATGTGAATCCACATTGTGGGGAAAAGCAAAATGTGAATTCACATTTTGGGAAAAAGGAAAATGTGAATTCACATTTTGGAAAAAGGAAACTGTGAATTCACATTTTGGATTTTTGTGTAGGATTCTTTATGAAAGGGGCCAGAATGTGAATTCACATTTTGGGAAAAAGGAAAATGTGAATTCACATTTTGAGAAAAAGGAAAATGTGAATTCACATTTTGGGAGAAACGTGGGCCCCAGTTCAAATCTGTCTTGGGGGTCGAGAGGTCATCGTTTGGGAACATACACGATCATCAATCGCACAATCAAGACACACTTGCACTCCACTTCGCTGCCCCACGCGCAATATGCAAGAACCCCCGCACGCATGAACGATAATGGATGGACGGCGCGTGTGCCCGCGCGGGCAACGCGCGGGCACGAACGACTGGCCCTCAATGACCGCGGACATTGGATGCCAATCGTACCCGTTCACATACATGAACGATACATTGAGCATACATGGGCCATTCAGCCCCCATTGAAGACCCCCTGTTGCAGACCCCCTCTTTCACCCTCCAATCGAAGACCACGAAGTGGCCTACAGTTGGCTCCGGGCATTCAAAAACATGCCCAGGAATGTAGTTCTGGGAACTCGAAGACCACGAAGTGGCCTACAGTTGGCTCCGGGCATTCAACATCATGCCCAGGAATGGAGTTCTGGGAACTCGAAGACCACGAAGTGGCCTACAGTTGGCTCCGGGCATTCAAAATCATGCCCAGGAATGGAGTTCTGGGAACTCGAAGACCACGCAGTGCGTTACTGTTGGCTAAAGAAGGAGTATCCGGACTCCCCCGGATCCCGTCCGGATCCCGCCCAGACCCCCCCGGGGAGTCATGATGCTCTCTTTTGACACCACTAGAAACCTATCAGCAAACGCTGTTAGGTAAATACTGTAGGAGCTCATGAGAAGGGAACTTGGGACGGGAGGTTGTCTTAGGGCATCGTTGACGCACACACGCACACACACGCACGCACGCACGCACGCACGCACGCACGCACGCACGCACGCACGCAAGCACACACCCACACACCCACACACCCACACACACACACACACACTGGGCTTAATTACTAGGCTCTGGCCCTCCTCCTCCTCGTCCTTCTCGTCCTCCTTCCCTGTCAAAAACCAAACTGCAGGTGGCGACGAAAAACCTTCCAGCCAGATGACTCGAATGGGAGAAACACGACAGAACCCCACCCATCCCCTTTCTTCGATCATCGATCCTCCTCTCGCCCACGCCGCAGGGGTCAGGCCTGCACCAGGCACGGCACAGACGCAAACTGTCGCAGGTCCGCGCGGACGTCTCGTGTCGGCGCTGGGCCGCCCCTGGCGGCACCACCGGCGCCGACCCCGGGCGCTTCGCGCGCCACGAGGCGTGGGCTCCGGCGCCGGCCCGAGAAATCTGGGCGCACCGCCGAACTGAAGGGGCCCACAAACACCCAAATAGATACACACAAATAAAAAGATTCCCCATATTTTCCCATGTTTCCTGGGTTTTTGTCTTCCCCCCACTTCCCATATTTTCCTATATTTTCTGGGGGATCGCCGATTCATTGTGTCTGTGTGTTTTTTCTCCCTCCTGATCTCTGGTCTTCCTTGAAAGAGGCAGGGTGCTCCTTGCCATCGCTCGGACGTCCATTCCACGTGCCCTCTTCGAGTCCGTGCGTGCATTTTTCGTCCGATGCTCCCAGGTGCTCATCGACGGCCCCTGCCGGGAAAAGGCACGCGTCCGAGCGATGCCGGGGCTCTGGCCCAGGCCTGCGGACGTTCTGCACCAGCATCGACAGCGTCTGCAGCAGCTGCACCTCGTGGCGTTGGGCGGCGCTGCCGGCCCGACGGCACGAGGTCCCCCCCCGCGGGTGCTGGCGCACGGCAGCACCGCCGCGGGCGTGGTGGCGCCGGCGGCGGCCACGAAGAGCGCAGGGAGCCCAGGGCCAAGGCGCAGCCGTGGCGGCCCCGGGTCCCCTCCCTCCACCTCCCGAGCGACGGACACGACTGCAGCCGCGCCTGGGCAAGAAGAACGCCCCGCAAGAACGTGAGGCCCTCCGCCGGCCCAAGCACACACACAGAGAGAACATCCACGGGTGCCCTCCCCAGGATGCACAAGAGCTTCCAACAAACACGAAGAGCACTAGGGTGCCCTCCCCGAATCGACCTCGATCTTACACCTCGGTCCGACTGTATATCCGTGCCCTCGCGGGCTGGACGCCGAGGCGCGATCTCACGGAGATGCGCTCCCGTAGGCACGCCCCGCGGGGGGCATCCGCGCGCAGAGCCGCCCTGCAGAAGCCGTGGCTACGGCTGTGCGGCGGGCTCTGGGAACCCTGGACCCGAAACTGCTGCCGTCCCTTGGGGTCGCATGTCTTACTTCTGCCGCCTCTCGCCAGCCTTCCGCCACCTCCCGCCGGCGGAGCCGCCCCCCGCTTCGCTTCCGCCGCCTTCTGCCGATGGGAGAGATGACAACTCCCCCGATCCTCGAAGGCGAGGCCCTTTCTCGGGGATGGACAGACCTCCCTTGAGTAAAACGTGGTTTAGTGAAAACGACCTCGGGCCCAAACCTGGCGGGCGCAAGCCTGGAAAATAACGGCCGCGGCGCCCTCTCGAGAACCGAAAACGGACAACTCACTAATCGACGTGTCAGTGTTAGGAGGTCTGTCCACCCCTGACTTTCTGGAACGCCTGACGCGTCCCCTGCACGCTGCCAACCCGTGCGCCACCCGCGAGCAGTGCGATAGATCTTCGGCAGCGGGGCCGTGGGGGGGACTCCATGCGGGCCAGCAGCCCAGGCACGCGCCACTGCCTACTGGGCCAACCCGCCGCCATTGAGGGAGGAGGACGGAAGGGGGAGGAGGAATTTGGACCTCCCATGTCTCGAAATATGCGAAACCACTACGAACGACTTTCTGAAAAAAAGATTGTTCCCTACCTAGGCTCTGCCTAGAAGGGTTCTTACTCTCTGAGCTTAAAGGGGCCGGGCAGTGGGGCAATTTGGACCTCCCATGCCTCGAAATATGCGAAACCACTACGAACGACTTTCGGAAAAAGCGATGGTCAGTATCAAGGGGGCCCCTCTCGGGCTCAGGGACTCTTGCAGGCGATCCAGAAAAGGAGCACCGGCCCCCAGGAAGGGGTCGAGAGGTCCGAGAGAAGGCGTTTCGTGAACGCTTGCCTGGGAATGCTAACTTGACACGTTCGAGCCAGCCCCGCCGCCCCCCCCTTCCTGTGCAAGGGAAGGGGGTTGGGGTCGAGCTGGGGAGGCGTCCCCCTGCAAGGGGGGGGGGGGGGTCGTACTGGCCCCCACCCCCGTGAAGGGGGACCGAAATGGGGGGGTGATCCCCCTCCTTCTCCAAATCGAACTGCACTGAAGCTCGATCCTAATCCAATAGTCCTACTATATCTGGATCCAGCTCTAATTGAATCCTACTGTGGCTAGGTCCAGATCTGATTGGATCCTGCTCGAGCTCGGTGCAGCTCTAATAGGTTCCTATTGAAGTTGGGTCCAACTTTACTAGAATGCTCGCTCAGTCGAGCAAGCGCGCGAGCGAGCGAGCGAATCGGATGGTTCGGGTCGGGCGGGCGGGTTATTTAAATGCCTGGTGCTCGCTTGCTCGCTCGCTCGCTACGAGCGGGCGAGTGAGGGAAGGGGGGGGGGGTCGGTCCTCTCGCTCGCGAGACATTCGGGTGGGTCGGGTCGGGCGGGCGGGACATTCGATGCATGGTGCTCGCTTGCTCGCTCGCTCGCTCGCCTGCCCGATTGAGCAAGCAAGCGTGCGCGCGAGCGAGCGAGTCGGGCGGTTCGATTTGGGCTGGCGGGTCATTGAATGCATGGGCTCGCTTGCTAGCTGGAGCAAGCATGCGAGCGAGCGAAGGAAGCAGGGAGTCGGTCCTCTCGCTCGCTCGCTCGCTCGCGCAAGCGAGCGCGAGAGTCGGGCGGGTGGAACGTTCAACGCGTGGTGCCCTCTTGCTCGCTGGCTCGAGCGAGCGAGCGAGCGAGGGAAGGAGGGGGCCCTCTCGCTCGCTCGCTTGCTGAAGCGAGTGAGGGGGGCTCGATCGGGCGGGGCATCAGGTGCATGGTGCTCGCTCGCTCGAGCAGGCGAGTGACTGAGCGAGCGAGTCGGGCGGGTCGGGCCGGGCGGACGGGACATCAGATGCACGGTGCGCGTGTGCACGCTCGCTCGCCCGCTCGAGAGAGAGAAATCTGGGGTTCGTCATGCTCGATCCAACTCTCATCCGCCGGCCCCCTTGTGCGGCCACCAGGCTCCGCGGGTTTGGCTTGCTGCTCCCTGCGTCGGTTCCAATCTCCAAATGTTAGATAATCCTGCTTTCTGCTACCTGCTATGGATTGTTCAAGGCCGCGCGAGGGGGGGAGCCGAAAAGGGCCCTGGTGATTACCACCACCTGGGGGGGTTCTCAGAATTCCTGGGGGGCCCTGGGACGCATAAAATGCATGAGATTCGCGCCACCGGACTGGCGCCATAATCCCTCGTAAATTAAACCGTGTTCGCGTCCCCGGAGCCACGATCCCAGGTCGATTTTTGAAGATTCGCGTCACCCAGGCTATAAACCCCTGCAAATTACCCTGTGTTAGCATTCCCGAGAATACAATGCCTGGTAAATCATATAATTCTCGCGTCTCCGAGGCAATACTCTCGCGTAGATTGCACAATATTTGCGTCCTCGAAGCCACGATCTCTTGTAATTTACGCGTTCTTCGCGTCCCCGAAATCCTAAACCCTCGTAAAGCAAGCGGTATTCGCGCTTCCGATGCCACATTCTTTTTAAAACGGCCCCAAGACGGTACAAGAGACCTCCGAGACGGCCCAAGAGTGCTCCAAGGCGCCCAACATGGCCCCAAGAGGGCCCCAGAGGCTCCTGAGAGGCCCCCATGAGCACCCCCAAGAAGAGGGTCTCAAGAGGCCAACACCTGCGATTTTCCTTAGGTCCGTGATGGATTTTGGCACGCTCGCCTTTTCGGGCTCGGAGTTCCGACACTGCTTCACGACGGCGCCCAGGCCTCACAACATAGCTCTTGCATACCATATTCTCCGAGAGAGGGGGCTGGCGGCAGGGGGCGAAACCCTTACGGATAAAATCCGTCTATAGCAAGATTCAGCTCTCATTCATTGAATCCTACTACGATTCGATCCAGCTCTCATGAACTCTGTTTAGGGCTCGATCCAGCCTCAATCGCAGCCTACTGAGGATCGATCCTCGTGGTCGTCGTCGTCGTCGTGTGGCGGCGGCGTCGTCAACGTCGGCGTCGGCGTCGGCGTCGGCGGCGCCGTCGTCGGCGTCGGCGTCGTCGTCGTCGTCGTCGTCGTCGTCGTCGTCGTAGTCGGCGGCGGCGTCGTCGGCGTCGTCGGCGTCGGCGTCTGCGTCGGCGTCGCTGCCCGACGGCGCCGGCGCCGGTGCCAGCGCTCGCCGTCGTCGGTTGCACGGGGGGGCACCCCGTTCGAACCCCCTCCCCTCGTCCTTGCAATTCGGGGGGGGGGGGGCCTCCCCCGGTTCCAATCCCCCTTCCCCCCTTCTCCCTTGAGAGAGGACCGCCGCCCCCCAGTTCGGACCCCCCTCCCTGCAACTAAGGGCCACCTCCCCTCTGGTTCGACTCTTCCCTTTGAAAAAGAAGGGGGGCCCCCCATCCGTTCGAACTCCCCCCCCGTGCAAGTCGGGGGGGAGGGCCAATCCTCCCCGTCTTTTGAGAGGGGGTAGCCGTGCGGCACTGAGTTGGTGGGATTAGATATGTGGGTTCTGGAATGATACGACCAACCAAGCGCAAAATAAGAAACAAGCCAGAACTCAGAGCTGCGTTCCACGTCGCCCTCATCACATGACAGCGCTTTACAGCGATGTAAAGTTTGTCCTTGATCGCAGTCCACTTGAAGTGTTTGCATTATGTAAAATCCATGCGATCCACCAGCGTGCACTGCATGAGCCTGCGCGATGTGGACTGAGAACAACGGTGTCTAATCATCCTCACCATCACCATTTCTTACCATCGCCATCACCATCACCATTTACCATCATGTCTTTCACTTGCTCCCTATCCCAGAACTCATGATGAATATTTCGTTTCCCCCTCATAGTGATCGTGATCGTCACCGGCACACCACATTCATAATGATAATCAACATCACCGCCTTCATCATCATTCCTGCCACGTCCTGCCTCCATCACCTTCAGAGACCACTCCGCACACATCCACCATACTTCCTTCGCGGAACTCATCATGAATGCTCCTCCTCCTCCTCCTCCTCCCCACGCCTCGTGGCCATTCTCGCCATCACCTGCACGACAGCCGCCGCTACCACAACCACCATCATCATTTTTACAATAAGCCTCATCATCATCGTCACGATATTCATTATCACCAACATCGTCCTTACCACCTTGCTCGTCAACACCATGGGCATCAGCGCAGCCGTCTTCACAATACTCCTCATCATCATGAACATTCCCCGCATCATCATCGGATTGTTCGCAACCGCCACCATCGTCATCATCATCACCCACGCCGTAATGATACACATCATCACCGTCAGTCTCAGCATCTACAACAGTCACACACGTACCACCACCACCACGACCACACCTACGAATACTACTGCTGCTGCTGTTGCTACTACTACTACTACTACTACGACTACGGCTACTACTACTACTACTACTACTACTACTACTATTACCACGACTACAACTACTACTACTACTACGACTACTACTACTACTACTACTACGACGACGACGACGACTACTACTACTACTACTACTACTACTATATTACGACGACTACTACTACTAATGCTGCTACTACTACTACTACTACTACTACTACTACTACTACTACTACTACGACTACGACTACGACTACTACTACGACGACGACGACTACTACTACTACTGTTACAATAACTACTACGACGACGACGACTACTACTACTACTACTACTACTACTACTACGACGACTATACTACCACTACTACGGCTATGACTCATACGAGTACTACAACGACTACTGCTACTACTACTACTACTACGGCTACGACTGCTACAACTACTACTACTACTGCTACTACTGTCACTACTGCGACTACTGCTGCTACTACTACTACTACTACTACTACTACGGCTACTGCTACTACTACTACTACTACTACTGCTACCGGAACTGCTGCTGCTATCGCTACTACTACTGCTACCTCCTACTACTACTGCCAGTCGTACGGCTACTACTACTACTACTACTGCTACTACTACTACTACTTCTAACTACTACTACTACTACTACTACTACTGCTGCTGCTACTACTACTACTACTACTACTATTCATACTACTGCTAGCTACTACTACTACTACTGCAACTACTCCTACACCTGCTACTACGACGACTACTACTACTACTACTACTACTACTACAGCTACAACTACAACAACAACAACTACCACTACTACTACGGCTACTACTGCTACAACTACTTCTGCCACTATGGCTACTACTGCTACTACTGCTACTACTGCCACGACTGCAACTACTGCTGCTACTACTACTACCACTGCTACTACTGATACTACGACTACTACTACTACTACTACTACTGCTACTACTACTACTACTACTACTACTACTACTACTACTACTACTACTACTACTACTACTACAAGCATTTCGACAATTCGTACGACTCCTACTACTACTACTACTACTACTACTACTACTACTACTACTACTACTACTACTACTACTACTACTACCACTACTACTACTACTACTACTACTACTACTATTACTACTACTTGAGGATCGGTGAGGGCGCACAGGCGGCGGTGTGCAGGCCGGCGGCGGTGACGGCCCTGGCGGCGACGGCTGCTTGCCTCGCGCGGCCGCGTGGCTCAAGAGGAGAAAGGGCCCCTCCTCCTCCCCCCTCCGAGGCGCGAGGAGGCTTTGGGGGCCCGCCTGGGTTCGAGGGCCCGCAAGGGCCCAGAGGGCTCGGGGGCGGCACCTGGAGGCCGCTCCCGAAGGCCCAGAGGGGCCGAGGCTCCAGGTGAGCCTCACGTGGGGGCTGCTCCGGGAACTGCTTTCCCGAGCGGGCCCGAGCCCGGGCGATGACGACGCCCCAGCGGGCGCCTCGCGCGGAGCTGGGCGACGCCGAGGCGGGCGACGCCGAGGCGGGCGCGGAGGCTGGCGCGCCGTCGACGCAGGCGGCCGCGGCCCCGACGGCGGCGGCCGGCGCCGGCGTGGAGGTGGCTGGCTTCGACGGCTCGCTGCTGGAGGCCATCGCCGACGGCGTCGTGGCGCAGCCGCCGCTGCTGGCCTTCGGCGCCTGGGTGCAGTGGCGTGCCGGCCCAGGGCGCCGGCTCCGCACGGCGCCAGCGATCGCGGCCAGCGAGAGCGCGCTCTGGCGGAGCACGGTGGAGGCGCTGCACGGCCAGGACTGGCAGGCGCGGCTGCGCATGCAAGCGCCCGCCGCGGCTCGCAGCCCTGCGACGCCGGCAGCTGCGCAGCCGCAGGCGGCGGAGGACGTCCTGAGGCTGCTGGACTCGCCGGCTCGCGCGTCCGACGCGGGCTCCGATGCCACGGGAGCGCTGTCGGACGGCAGCTGGGGGCCGCTCACGGACGGGGAGGTCTTGGAGCGGCTGCTGAAGGACGTGGAGCCGCACGAGTCGATGCGCGACTTCGAGCGGCGCCTGCTGCGGGCGCGAGCGGTGCTGACGCTGCGGCGGCAGGCGGTGCCGGAGGGCGCTGTGGAGTTCGGCATGAGGAAGGCCCGCTTCCTGGTGGAGGCGCGGGCCCACTGTGAGGGCGTGGTGGCAGCGCTGGAGGCGAGGCTGCACTCGGTGCTGGACGTGGAGACGGACGACGCCGACGAGGACGTGCGGGTGCTGATGGACCTCCTCGCGGTGGCGCGCGGCGGCGGCAGTGCTCGCGACGCGGTGGCTGGCGGAGTTTCGGCGCGGCCCCCTCAGGATCGAGCCCCTCCCGCTGGTCCCGCAGGCGTCGGCGCTGCTCCAGCGACGCCCGCCTTTCCCTTGTTCGGCGAGGACCTGCCGCCTGGGCTCCCCCCGAGAGGCGGGGCGGCCGAGGCGGGTTCAGCGGAGCCCAGCTTGGCGGCGGCGCTGCAAGGCCTCGCAGGAGCGCTCGGGCGGCGGGCCGACAAGAAGTCGTCCACGATCCAGGTGAAGCCGCAGTACAGTCTGCCGACGTTGGGCGACGGCGACTTCGACGTGGACTCGTTCGTGGAGGAGTTCGAGGAGATGGTTGGCTTGGCGAACGACGGCGCGGGCATGTCGGCGACCGAGATGGTGCGCGTGCTGGGGACCTGCCTGAAGGGCTCGCGGCAGCGGGCTTACAAGGTCGAGCTGAAGCAGGCGCGCCGTTCGGGAAGGCTTGCGGCGGACCCCGATGAGGTGTACCAGAGCCTGAAGGAGCGGCTGATGGAGTTCAGGGAGGGCTTGCTTGAGAAGCAGCAGCGGCTCAACGCCGAGTGGAGGACGCTCTCGCGCGGCAAGATGAGCGCGCTGGAGTTTCAGGCAACGTTCGAGAATATCGTGGCGGAGATGGAGCTGGCTGGGATGGGCAAGTCCGACCGCGACCTGCTGCTCGGCTACCTGGCGCTCATCCCCCCCGCGCACCGTGCTGAGGTGCTCAAGGATCGCCGAGTGTATCAGCGGTCTGGCGCTCAGCCCGAGGTCCGCGGCGTCGAGACATGGAGGGAGGCCCACCGCGTGCTGCTGAAGCTGGAGGAGGCCGAGAGCTCGGCCAAGGCGCTCGTCGCGGCGGTGGGCTCGGACTTGGCGCCCAGCCCGGGCGGCGGCGGCGGCGGCCGGCGCCGGCGCGGAGGCGGAGGCGGTGATCAGGGGCCGCCCGAGGTCGGCGCTGTCGGCGGCTCCGGCGGCGCCAGCGCTGAGGCTCCCTTGAAGATCTGCTACCGGATGAGGGACAGCGGCACGTGCGCGCGCGGAGACGCCTGCAGGTTCTCGCACGACAGGGCTGCTATCGCCGACGCGCGGAGGACCAAGAAGGACGCGACCGGGCCGAAGGGCAAGGGCGCGGACGGCAAGAAGGGCAAGGGCTCGGACGACGGCGGCAAGGGCGGTCAGAAGTCGCAGCTCTGCCTGCAGTTCCTCCGGGGTGCGTGCAGCAAGAGCGAGAAGGACTGCAAGTTCAGCCACTCGGGTAAGGCAGCTCAGAAGGTCATCGCGGCAGTCTACGCTGGCGCGGCCGCAGCTAAGGCGCCGCCGCCGAGCTTCGGCAGCGCGGGCCCCTCCGGCAGCGGCCAGGAAGCAGCGCCTGCGGCCGAGGAGGCTGCGCGGCCGGCTGCCTCCGGCGCGGCGCCGAAGGTGCAAGCTGCGGCGGGTGGCAAGCTCGAATGGGTGCGACGCTGTGGCGGCGTCTTCGGTGCGAGCTACGACCTCCCGCAAGTGAACGTCATCAGGGGTTCGCCTTCGCCCGAAGGAGCGCTGAAGGACTTGGACCAGATCCCCGCCAGCGCCTGGACGCAGGTGCAGGAGCCCGACGACGGTTACCACTACTTGTGCCACACGCACGTCTACGGCCTCGGCATCAGGACGCTCCTTGATGGCGGGGCTGTGTTCTCCTTGACGTGGGGGGCGACAATCGTTAGCATCATCAACAGTGCGATCGCGGAGGGCAAGTCTCCTGAGGACCCCGACTGGCCGATCGCGGGCTTGATGCACTGGGGCCGGGACTCGAAGGCTTCGTCGGTGGCGGACAAGGGCGACCTGAAGACCCGGGGCATGGTGGACCTGCGCCTGGCCTTCGATGGGCTAGATGGTACGCGAGTTGTTCGTGTATTTCGCCTTCGCCTTCTGCGCGGGGGTTGGGACAGGCCGCTTCTCATCATTCTTGGAGCCCCAGCGCTCGATACACCCCCCCTGGGAATCGGGCACCGGCCTACGCTGCAGGGCCACTACCTGCCGGGGCTGGGCATCACGGTCAAGCGCGCGGAGGCCGACGCGGTGCAAGCGAAGCTGTTGACCATCGCGGCGGTGTTCTCGGAGTGCGATGTCGACAGGCGTCGAGGCGAGGATCGTCGGGCGGCCAGTGCTGTAGGATCCCTAGTGTGGACCGGCGCGGCCTGCCCGAGCTACCCCATCTGCATGGTCGGCGGCCAGTGCCCCGCGGAGTTCGGCGGCGGCGACACGGGCGTGATCGTTCTCGACGATTCGGAGTCCAGCATCCCCATCTACCTGAGCGGCGAGGAGGGCGTGCGGCTGGAGCTCGGCGATTGCGCACTGGTGCCAGCCCGCGCTAGCAGCTTCGCAGCGGGTGCCGTCGGCGATGTGGTGGCGAATGGCGCGGCGGCTGTCTGGGCCGCCCCTGGCCCTTGGCTCGGCCGGGAGCAGCTCGTCCTGGTCGGCAACTGGGACCAGCCCGGCGTCAGCATCGAGGTCGGCGACATCGTGGGCGCAGTGATTCAGACCGATGGCGAGCCGGCCGGCGACGACCCTTCGGTGGCGCACGTGTGGCAAGATTGGGACGAGCTTCGGGACATCGTTGAGCTGGAGGTGCCGACGGATGAGTACTACGCCGAGCGGCTGGTCTACTGGCAGCGGAAGTACCCGAAGGCGGCTACCACCCTCCTCGAGCACCTCTTGGCGGTCGAAGGCTTGCTTGACGTGTGCATCGCGGCCGGGTACTCCATGGGTGCCGAGAAGTCCCTCGATAGGCTAGCACAGCCCTCTTTCGAGGCGCTCGGCGAGATCGTAGGCCGCGAGGGCAGCGAGGCGTGCGAACGGCACCTGGAGCTTATCAAGAGCTGGTCAGTGCTCGAGGACGTGGCTGCGCTGCGACGGTTCCTTGGCACGTTCAACTGGATCCGCGGCCACTTCCCCAAGGAGGTGCAGAAGCCGCTGGGGGTCCTCACGCAGCAGCTCAAGAAGGACGCCGAGTGGCCGATGACCCCCGAGAAGGTCGCAGCCCAGCGCGCCATTCAGCAGCTAGCGTGCGAGGCCATCCGCCTCGCGGCGATCGACATGGTCGGGGCGATCTCCAAGGACCGCCCGCTCGAGCAAGTCGCGGACTTCTGCCCCTATGGATGGGGCGGCAGCGTGTATCAGCTGGCCGCCGACCGGCGCACGCTCAACGTGTTGGGGATGTACGGCGGCTGCCTCAGCTTGGCGCAGAGCAATTGGCACCCCCGCCGGGGCGAGCTGTATGCGCAGCGTGAGACCAGGCGGGAGGCACGTAAGGACTTCGGTCGGCTGCCCGCCCTGTGCTGGACGGACCACGCGGCAGCGGTGAAGGACGCGACGGGCGAAGCCGAGACGGACTCCACCGTCATCCGCTGGGTCGGCGAGATCGAGAGCGACGGCAGCAGACTGATGAACCTCTCCGGGCGCAGCGCGGCTCTTGGTGATGGCCCCTCCCGAGAGAACGAGGCCCACGGCAAGTTTCTGAGCGAGCAGGCTCACTCCCTGGCGAACATCGCGATCGAGGACATCATCGGCGATGACTACCGCCCAGGTGAGGGCGCCCCTTGGGGCCTGGACGAGACCCCCGACGCGGCCGCCTTGCAGCGGAGCGCGAGAAGGGCGACTCCATCGCGCTGTACCTGCCCGACTATGGGTGCGAGAGGCGGCGGAGCGCAGAGCAGGCGCGGGCAGCTCGACAGCTGCAGCTGGCGGCGCCAGGCCTGCGGCTTCGCATGGTCCCGCACGACCCCCCGCTGGCGGACGGTGCCGGCGGCCTGTACTACATCGCGCCTCCTCGCTTCCCAGGTGATGCGAGTAGCAAGGCGCGGAAGCAGCTTCGCAATGACGTGCTGACCGCGGTGGCCGCCGTCCTGCGAGAGAGTGCTGCGCGGTGGCCCAAGGTCGTGATCGGGACCGGCCACGGCGGGCTGGTGGCGGCTGCAGCGGCCCACCCCGGAGTGGTGGAGGCCGCGCTCGCGCTGCGGTACGCGAGAGAGGCGGAGGGCATGCAGATCGCGGAGGCGTGGGTGAACATCAGGGCGTTCGTGGCGATCGGGCCGCGCGCCCATAGCCCGAGCAAGATCGGCTTCGTGCGGGAGGCGTTCCCTGAGTTCGGAGCGGCTGCCCACGGCGACGAGCGCCCGGCCCCCCTCTATCTGGTTGAGGGCGCCGGGGCGCACCGCCGCTTCGGGCAGGACCTCGGCGAGGCGCTGGGCGTGACGGTGTCGGCCACGCTGGGCGAGATCCTCATGCAGGAGGTGGTTGCTGCCCCCCCGCGGCTGCTGGAGTTCAGCGGCGGCCGCTGCGCATGCGGGCGGAGTTCGCTGGTGCTGGCGCGGTGCGGCCAGTGCATCAGGGCCGACCGCGAGCTCGAGGAGGAGGCGCGGCTGGCCGAGGTGCCGGAGGACGCGTTCGAGGAGCCCGAAGCGGTCGACGTGGCGGCCTCGGCGGCGCGCATGCGCGCTGTCCGCCCGCAGCCAGCAGTAGCTGTCGGGCCCGGCCCCTGCATCGCCGTGTCGGCGGAACTCGTGCGGGACCTCCTGGAGTTCGGTGGGGGCCGAGCGGATTTCACGTGCAACTGCATCAGGGTCCGCCGAGCGCCGGCTGCAGGCGTCGTGGCTTTGGAGGCCGCGCGGGGATACTCCTACAGGCTGTCGTGCTTCGTCGTGCCGCAGGGGCCCGAGCCGGGCGTAGAGGTGGCGCTGGCGCAGCCGTGCGTGGAGTTCGAGCTGGAGCTCGTCGCGGAGATCGACTTGGAGCGGCTGCAGGTGGGCTTGCCGAAGGGCGCCGAGCTGATCCAGCTATTCGCCTGCGCTTGGCTGCTGTGGGAGGGCGGCGCGCGCCTCCCCGCTCTGGGCGCCACTCGCGTTCATCGGCACTGCAGGGGGTCGGCCGTCAGCAACGGTGCGATCATCAAGGTGTCCTCCTACTCCTCCGCCTACTCCGAGGTCTTCGCGGGCACTTTGGGGCTAGCATGGTATCGAGCAATCCGCGATCGCTTTGGTGGACGGGCTTCTGGGGCCTTCGTCGAGTTCGCGGACTCCGACTTCGCGCGCGGCGAGCGGGAGGCATTCGAGGTACCGGACGTCCTCGGGGCGATCACCAGCAAGCAGGCTCCAGCTTCTGAGCAGGCATGCTCCAGAACTGAGCCGACGGGAGGCGGCGATCACTGCCTGACGTCATCCGTCGCCGCCGTGGCCCTCGGGCGTGTAGCACGCGCCCCAGAGCGCGGCACTGCAGCTTTCGATGCGGAGGTGGCGGACGGGCGCAAGCTAGAGGACGCCGACATCGCGGTCAGGGAGGCGTACGCCGCGAAGGTGCGGGGCTGCGAGCCTGAGGCGGGGAGCGAGCCGTTCGAGCTGTCCAAATCGCTTCGTGCCCACATCATCGGGGACCAGTGGAAGGATGAAGATCTCGGGCCCATCTGCATGCAGCTTCGCGCTGAGTCTGGCGCCGGCGACCGCCCAGAGGCGCAGCGTCTCGGAGAGGACTTCGCGCTCGAGCAGTTCGTGACAGTGGGCCCTGGGGAGCAGCGTTGGCTGCTAGTTCTGCCTGCATCTGGCGGACCTGGTTCGGGCATATCGTGGAGGCGCTTCATCTTCCTTCATGTTCATGCTGGTCCGTCGGGGGGCCACAAGACAGCGGTCGCTACTCGTGAGTGCGCCCGGCGGCTGGTGGTCTGGCCGGGGCTCGCGGCGGACATCGAGAAGTGGTGCGCTAGCTGTTGGGCCTGCCTCCGATTCAGGAAGCAGACTACGAAGGTTCAGGCCAGCTTCATCGTGGCACGGCACCGGCTTCCATTTCATCATGTGGTCATCGACATGGAAGGCCGCATCACCCCTCCCGACGTCGACGGGTTTGCGTACGTGCTGACTTACATCTGCGTGACGACGGGGCCCCCCCTTCTCGAGCCGCTCAAGAACTTGCAGCACTCCGAAGTTCGTCGCGCCTTCTTTCGATGCGCGACTCGAGCCAAGACCTGGCCGATGCTGGTGAGTTCGGATCGTGGCAAGGAGTTCTGCAACGCTCTCATGGAAGAGCTTTGGGCGCTCCTCAACTTCGCAGGCCGCTTCGGTACTTCGTGGAGGCCCTGTGAGCAGGCGGATGCGGAGCGGTCCAACATCGAGTGCGCGAGGGAGATCGGCATCTTCCTGCACGACGTCTTTAAGTGTGCCCCCGGCCAGTGGGCCGAGCTGCTGCCGATCGTCGAGTTCGTGCTGTGGAACTCGCCCGGCAAGTCGGCACTGTCGCCGAGGGATCTCTGCATGGGCTGGTCGCTGGCGTCGCCGCTGGAGCGGGAACTGCTGCCGCTGGAGCCCGCCGTTCGCGAGGCAGTCTCCGACGTCGCGGCGGCGCAGTTCGAGCAGTTCAGGCGCTTGCGAGAGGTTTACCTTCAGCATCGGGCTCGAGCCGGCCGGCGCAGAGCGGAGCTGGCCAATCGCACGAGATCGTCGAGGCGCCCCGAGGTCGGGGACATGGTGATGTTCAAGGACCCGAAGCTCTCCAAGGCCGTGGCCGGGCACGCTCCGGGCCGCCGCCCACTGCGCGGCCCCTTTGAGGTCCTCTCCACGAAGGGCAACGTCGCTACGTTGCGAGATCCCGAGACCCGGCAGGTGCTCAAGGACATCCACGGCGATTTCTTGATCGGCGTGCCGGGCTTGGTCGACGACACGGAGCGCATCGTGGAGCTGGAGGAGGACGACGGCCGTGGCAGGGCCTCTGCTGGACAGTTGCTGGCAGCGCGGCTGGCCCCTGGAGGCGGCGAAGCAGCCGAGGCGCAGGCGCCGCGCGTGAAGGCGCGGATGAGAGAGGTGAAGGTCGGGCGGCTCGTGGCCTACCAGGGCGAGGAGGCGAAGCGCTGCCGGGTGGGCAAGGTGCTGAGCGTGGCCGAGGACCTGAGCAGCGTGACGGTGCACGTGTACCAGGCGGCGGTCGATGGACGGCTGCAGGTGGTCTGGACAGCGGCGTATGACCGCCAGGAAAGTGCGGACTTCCAGCGGCAGAGGGTCGAGACGCTGGAGGCGAAGCGGGTGCTGGGCGTCGTGGGGCCCAAGAAAGGCGTGCTGAACCACGCGGCGGCGAGCAGACTGGCGCGGGCCGGCTGGCGGCTGGACGAGGGTGCAGTTCGGCACGGCGCCTTGGCGGCGGCGGCAGTGGTGCCGGCCGCGCCGCGGCTCTCCAACCTCCCTTCGAGCCGCGTGATCGCGCTCGTCGCAGCCTGCCGTCCGCTCGAGGAGCTCGACCTGAAGATCGGCGAGGTCCAGGCTTGGGCGCACGGCGTCCCCCTCTTCGTGGAGATCTTCGATGGGGTCGGGAGGCTCTCGCAGGCGGTCCAGAGCTTAGGCGCAGCCAACGCGGTGTGCAGCGTGGTGGCCGGCATCGACCTTAAGCGCAGGACGTGCGGGCAGTACTGGGACCTCAGCAGGGCCAAGGACCGCGCCCGGCTCCGCTACCTGCTCTTCGAAGTGCTGAAGCCAGCAGGAGCCCACTGGGCGCTTCCCTGTGCGAAGTGGAGCAGCCTCGGTGGCCACCAGCCCGACGCCAACGCGCACGCGCTAGCTTCCTTCACCATGGACGGCCTCGAGCACTTCGACGGCGCGGGCTGTTTGGCCTCCTTCGAAGGCCCTCGAGCGCACGCGCTGGTGGCGAGCGCGGAGTGGCAGCAAAGGTTCGGGTCAGCTGAGGCGCCGCGCGGGCGCTGGCGGTACGTGCTCCCCGACGGCTGCATGTTCCACTGCAGGAGCCCGGACGAGGAGCCCTTGGCCATGCAGAAGCCGTGCGTCATCGTGGGCAACTTCCCGCTGGACCTGCTGGACATTCAATGCCGCCGGGGAGCGCTGCGGCCTCTGGGACGCGGCCTCGAAGGCGTCGAGGTCGCCTCCGTGGGGCAGAGTGGCGACGCCGGGAGCTCCATGATCGGAGCCGCGCGAGCGCTGGAGGGGCCCCGCATGCCCTGCGAGCCGGGCCGCGCGGCCGCGCCGGCTGCAGGGGTGACTAGGTCGGTGGACAAGCTGAGCGACGCCGAGATGGCGGAAAGGAAGGCGCGGCGCGAGCCAGCGGCAGCGGCGGCGAGGAAGAAGTGGGCCGAGCTGGCCAAGAAGGGTGACTGGGACCAGGTGCGGATGCCCGGCAAGTGCTTCAGGTTCGCCGAGGTGAAGGTCTCGCCGAGGCGCTCGGCGGAGTACAAGGCCAAGGTTCTGGAGGCGGTCGGGCTCGTCGGCGAGTGCTCGGGCTACAAGCACTTGGGCAGCCAGGAGCTGGAGGCGCTGAAGGAGATGATCAGCCTGAAGGCCGAGGCGTTCTGGGTGAAGGGCACCGCGCGCACGGTCATGCGCGGCTTCAAGCACGACGTGGTGACGACTGGCTTGCCGGTGCGCGGGCCGCCGATCCGCTTGAAGGGCCCGGGGGCTTCCATCGTCCGCGAGGAGCTCGAAGCGGGCGTAGAGCAGGGGCTGTACTCCCGGGGGACTTCGCCATGGGGCAGCTGGGCCTTCCCGACCAAGGAGCACGCGAGCGGCCGAAGGCGTCGGACCGTCGTGGACTACAGGATGGTCAACCGCAGGATGGTGATGTTCGTGTACTATATCCGCCGGTGCCGAGACGTCAAGGGCGAGCTGGTGGGCTGCGCCTTCATCTCCGGCATGGACGGCGCTCGCGGCTTCAACCTCCTGGTCAACACTGAGCACGCGAAAGAGGTCCTGGCTGTGCTGGCGGACTGCGGCTGCTACCTCCCCGAGGTGCTGCAGCTGGGGCCAGCGACGGGGCCCTTCGACTTCCAGTTCTGCACCGACGAGCTGTTCACTGGCACTGGCCGCGGACGCTGCGGATCGGTCTGGAAGAACTACATCGACGACTTCTGGGTCAGGACGGGGCAGTGGCTGAACGGCCGCGCCTACACCGACCGAGAGTACGAGGAGATGCTGGCGGCGGCGCCCCCCCCCCCCGGCGGCGTCTCGTCCGCTGGGCGACTCGCTAGCAGCGGCCGGGTTTGCGGGGACTCGCAAGGCCAGCCAGAGCTACGACCGCGCCAAGAGCATGCTCGTGGGGCTGTGCGTGGCGCAGTCGGCCACGGGGGCGGCGGCTATGGAGGGCGGCGGCGTTGCCTTGGCGAACGGCCTCCGCGTGCTGGTGGTGGCTGCCGCGGTGCGCACGGCGGCCTTGATGGGCGAGGGGCTGCGCGCTGGCGTGCAGCTGACGCAGGACATCTTCGAGGCGGCCGGCGACCTGGTCCAGAGCGTCTCCTGGAGCCTCAGCGGGCTCGCCCACGAGGTGTGCGAGGGGGTGGTCCTGGTGGTGCGCGTCGTGGTCGTCGTGCAGTGCTGCTACGCTCTTTACTGCCTGCGCTCGTGGGTGGCTTGCCGTGCGCAGCGGGCGGCGCTTGAGCGCGCCGCTACCGCCGGCGAGGCGGCGCAGCGCGGACTTACGTCCAGCGCGCGAGCCTGCGAGGCCGGCGACGGGCCCGCCTTCGGCGCCGAGCCGATGGCCAGAGCGGCAGCCGCTGGCAGGAGCCCGAGCGGAGCTACCTCATCAGCAGATGGCGCCGCCAGCCCTGTGGTGGCGCTGCGGCGCGAGGCGCAGTTCGAGACGCCCCTGATTGGAGCGGCGGCACGCCCCCGAGCGGAGGTCCTCCAGATCCAGAGGAGCGCAGCCGTGGCACTGCGGGACTTGGAGCATTCGGACCGCCAGCGTGCCGCGCGAGCGCGCGACCTGGCTGCCTGCGGCGCGGTGGTGTCCGCGAAGCTGGTGGAGGCAGCGCGCAGCGCGGCGGCGAAGGACGCGGGCGACTTGTGCGAGTTCGAGGTTGAGGTGGCAGGCAGCCGCGGCGTGCGGTATGACGTGCGACTTCGTGCTGGACGCTTGGCTGCGGCGCTGCTCCCCGCATCGTGCACCTGCGCGGACTTCGTCAGCGGCGGCGGCGGCCCCTGCAAGCACATTGGGGCGGCCTGGTGCTGCGCGGTGGGCGGCAACTTCAGCGAGCTGGTGGAGCTGGCGCTTGCGGCTGGCCGCAAGGAAGGTGCTGCCGGAGGCCCTCAGCGACGTGCAGCCCTGGCGCCGAGCGACCCCCTTGGCCTCGCGGGGGCCGTGCGGGAGCTCCGCGACTCGGAGGCCGAGGTTGTTCGCCTGCGCGAGGAGGTCCAGCAGCTGAGGGCGCAGCTGGGAGTGGCCTCCAGGCGCGGAGCCGTGGCCGAGTTCCTCTCGGCGTCGGAGACGCTGGCGGCGTGGGCGCGGGCCTGCGGCGAGGCCGAGAGCTACGTGTACGTGGCGTGCTTCACCTTCGACCAGCCGGGCGTGGTGAACTACCTGGAGGCGGCTCGGGCTCGAGGTC